TGGCGGCTTCTCCTCTTTCCTTCACTTCGCTGCCTCCTCTCCGGGATGTTGGCTCTTTCCCCGACTTGTCTCCTCAGAGGTGTTTCTAATGGTCTCCGTGGGTTTATCTGTCCTCTCTAGCGTTTTCCTCGCTCTTGCGGATTTTCTTCGGCGGCCGGAACCCACTGGGGCGCGTGAACGGCTCCGATCCGTGCGACTCGTGAGCGTGGCAGCAGGTCCCGGTGCTCGGCCGCGGGGGGCCCGCGGGCTGGGGTCTGTGCCGGTGAGCCGGCTCCGTCCGGTCTCAGCCAGGGGTCTGCGTTCCGACGGCCCGTGCGCCCTCCACCTTCCAGGCAGCTCCAGGGCTCACCTTCACCGGCCCTGCGCCCGTGCCCCAGGCTGGTGTCCGCCCCTCACGGCGCGGTCTCCCGCCGTGTGCTCTCTTCACGGCTCCGCCGGGCCAGGACGCGCCACGCAGTCCAGCCCTCGGCGGTCTCTCGTACAGACACAGGGTCGTGCTGCGCGAGGACACTGCCATCACCCCAGAGAAGCTGCGTGTGCATTAACCACCCGGCCCCGGCCCCTGGCCTCCTCCCGGCCCTGCAGACTCACACACTAGGTGGCCTCTGGTGGCTGCTGTCTTTCACGGGGCACGACGTTTTCAAGGCTCATCCATGCGGAGCGTGTTTCATACTTCACTCCTCCGGGTTGCCGAGTAGCATTTCAGCGTACGGGTGGGATGTGTTTTATTTATGTTTATTAACCGACAGACATTCAGGTTCCTTCATTTGGCCATTAAGCACGACGCTGCCGTGAGCGTCTACGTGCCGGTCTTCGCGGGGACGTCTGTCTCCACGTCTCTCGGGCACATGCCCGAGCCGGGGGCCGCCGGGCCGGAGCTGCCGGGAGGCCTCCACAGCAGCAGCCCCGTTTCGTTTGCAGAGGGTCTCCTCTCACCTGTTCCCCTTGGCTTCGCCAGCACACGTCCCTCCAACCCAGAGAAGGCCGTTCTCTTCCCTCCCGAGACGACCCAGGTCAGGAGCCGGCGCCCTCCCGTCTTGCCCTCTGCGCTCACGCTACGACATGCTCTGTTTCACCGTTGCTGCACGCTGGGGCCGGGGGCCCTCGGTCCGGTCACGCCGCCCGCCAAGACCACGTTTTCTGATTCCGTGTCGGAGACATTCAACAGTGTCCTGGTGTCCCTAAGAGGGCCCCCTGCCAAGGCCTCTCGGGGCAGGGGGGAAAGTGGTGGCCCGCGTGACCTCCGCGGGTGCAGGATGCGAGCGTGCCCGTCACGTGGAAGACGGAGGTGCGTGTCACAGACGCGCTGAAGCACGAGCCCGGCCGTCAGCAGTCCCGCTCTGGGGGGCGAGGGGGGTGCGTGTCGTGTCTGTGGGCCGAAGCTGGGAAGGGTACCGTGCAGGCGGCAGCACCCTGAGCCCCCGCCGGCTGGTGCGGCACGCCGGGCCCATGAAAGGAGCCTTCCTCTGTCGGGAACGGGGGCTCCAAAAAAACAAACCAGGCAGAAACTTCACGACAACGGATTTGGTGGTGATTTCTTGGCCATGACACCCAAGGAACAGGCACCGAAGGCAAAAACCTAGGCCTGCGTCGGATCGAAAACCTTTTGTGCGCGAGGAGGACCTGGCAACTCCCGATCTCAGGGCCTAGGTTCAACGCCCCCCCCACCCCCCGCCCCGGGCATGGAGCCTCTTACAGAACGACGACTTTTAGGTGTCCGAGGACACAATCGAGGGCTACAGAATGGGAAAACACTCCCGGGTCACACGCCCGATACTGTGCCAGTGGCCAGGCCATACAGAGAACCGCACAGCCAACGACAACAGACCAAACAACGTCATTGCAAAATGGGCGAAGGTCACAGACAGGTCTCCCAGAAGACAGACAAACGGCCAAGTGCATCGTCAGCAATCCTGAGGGAAATGAAGTCAAAACCACTCTGAGGCGCCACCTCACACCCAGCAGGAGGTCTGCGACCAACAAAACAAAAAACAAGTGTGGGTGAGGATGTGGGGAAAGGGAGCCCTCTGCACGGCTGGCGGGAACGCGAACCGGTGCAGCCGCCGTGGGAACAGAGGAGGCTCCTCCAAACCTTCAAAGAGGCCTGAACGACCCAGAGCCCCCGCCGTGGGCAGTTCACCCAAGGGCCAGCCGTCCGCACACCCGTTACAGCCGCACTCACAGCCGGATGGACACACGGAGTGTGGCCCGTGTACCCACGCACCAGGAACACCAGCGGCCCCGGCCTCCAAACTGGCCCGTCCCCTCCACGCGCATGGGGCCTCCGGGGCCCCTTTCTACCACTCAGGTCCAAGCGGGGGGGCCCCCGCTGAGTGCAGAATAAAATCCAAGCCTTCCCCCAGCAAACCCTACCGTGGCCGTGCCCTCCCGTCACACCTGCAGCCCGTTGACAAGTGTCTCCTGAGGGGACACTCTCTCTCTCCAGGGGTCACCACGCACAGCTCTCCTGCCATGTGGCCCTTTCTGATGCTCTTCCACCTTCTCCATCAGCAAACTCCTGTTCGTCCCTCCCTGAGAAGGTACTGGTGACATACACATGTCCGTGTGCCCACGTGTGCGTGCGTATCTCTGACAGAGAACTCATATCCGGAATATATAAAGTACTGGCACAAATCAACAGGAGAAACACAGACAACCCAGAAAAAAAATGGGCAAGACGCGGGCGTCTCCAGCTGCGCACGGCACACGCGTACAAAAGCGTTCAGCTTCACAAGCCACCAGAGAAACGCGAATCCCGCTCAACGTGGAGCCGCCACTCACCCCCAGGACGACGCGGACCGGTGCCGGCAACGGCGCGGCCTCTCCCGGCGTGTCCCCGACAGAAACACACCCTCATGCGGCCCACGGCAACGCGGCCCCTCCTGGGAACTGCACGCGTGCCCCCTGAGGCGGCAGCCAGGCGGTGCGCAGGCGCGGGCGACGGTGTGCGTGACCTCACGCCAGCAGGGGCGGCACACGAGGGCCCGAAGGGTGCGAGACCGTCTCTACGGGGTACGAACCAGCCGGTGCTCCGCACTGCAGGGAGGCAGGGGCAGCCTGCGGGGTGTCGGCTTGGGGGACCAGGGACTCCGGAGCGGGCGGACGCCTGTGCGTGCACATCCGTGGGGACCCCCAGGACAAGTCCGTGCTCTGCTGGGACGCTCCACTTCCAAAGGGAGCCTCGAACCCCTCCCGGTCAACAGGTCCGCCTCTCGGGGATTCACAGGGCGGGCGTTGTAGCAGCCACCCGACCCCCGGAGCCCGCCTCGCACCCGCGGGGACCCGAGCGCGGAACGTGCGTGTCAGCTGTCGCGGCACACGCGCTGACGCAGGGCCGCTGCTGACGCACGACTGGGAACAACTACGCAGACGGCCACCTGAGCTCCCAAGGGCACACAGAGGTGACAGGGTGAACGGGAAGGCCACAAGGAGCAGGCGGCACGTGAGCGCCCCGGGCAGGGCCCCCGTGGGCCAGCCAGCTGTGGGACTCTCCGAAGGGCCCGGAGAGAGGGCCCAGCCAGTGCCCACCCGCCGCGGGGCTCGGCGCCCCCCCGCATTTTCCTTCCCCTTCCCCTTCCTTTTTCCGGGCCCCAGCCCGGCCCCTCCCCTCCCTGCCCCACCCCGCCCCCCTCACCTTCTCCTGGAGCATGCTCCCTCGCTCCCTCAGCAGGCAGTTGACCATGATGGTAGCCGCCCTCGAACAGTTCTTGTCCGGGTCTCCCAGACTCTCAAACAAGGTCAGCAGGAGGCTGATGAGTTGCTCTGGCGGGAGGCGCTTGGCAATAATCTAGGACGACGGCTGTGTCAGAAGAACTGAGCCGGTGGGGACACAGACCCAGCATCCCGGGGTCGGGGGCTGCCGGGTGCCTCCTCCAGCCGCCCTCGCCCCCTCGTGGGTGCGGGGGCGAGGTGGCGGCTCACGCACAGGAGGCGCGCCGGGGCCGAAGCCTGGCTCTGCCGGGACACGGGGTGCCTCAAGGACCCGCCTGACCCAGGCCCCTGGAAGGCAGTCTGGGGGCGGCTGCCCTCCTGACCCGTGGGGTGGCCTGCAGGTGTCCAGACTGCAGGGTCAAGGGTGGGGGGTGGCACATCCACCCTGAGCAGCCCAGCCACGGACCGGAGCCCCCTCCTCGTCTGGTCAGCACAGCAGAGCGAGCCACTCATTAAAGCAGCAGCACACAGAACGGACACAGGCTCCCCAGGCGGCAGCCGCTTTGGCATGGCCCCAGCCGCAAACCTCCCACTCCACCTGGAGTCCCCCAGGGCTGCGTCTTTTCCTCCCGCGGAGTCCTCCCTCCCCACCCAGGAAGGGCCCCGTTCACCCCCTCCCTTCCTTCTTCCGCAGGAGAGCACGCCGCCTCGGGACCCGAGGGCCAGGTCCAGACACCAGATGGAGTAGGAGTGCCGTCCCGGCGTGGGGGCTCACAGCGCGGGCTGGGGCAGCTTCCTCGGCTCTCCGGAGCCGGCAGCTGAGCTCCTGACGCCCCTGCTGCTGGGCCTCGGAGGGCTGACCCCAGGAAGGTGGAAGCAGGGCCAGCCCGCTGGCCCCGTGGCACACCCACCCGGCGCCCTGCAGAGCCCGTGGCGTGCTCGGAGCTGGCTGCTGTGACGGCGCCACCCCGGCGGGTACCTGGGCTATGCTGTGGCAGGTGTGGAAGAGGACGGTGGGGTCGGGGTGCACGAGGCCTTCTTTGAGGGCGAGGAGCTGCTCGGCCACATCGTCCCGGTAGTCACGGGAGAAGCCTTCAGAGGCAAGGCAGAGGGAGGCCGGGCAGGTGCTTCCCTGGCCCCCAAGGCCCAGGCTCCACCCCTCCTCCCTCCAGCAGCTCTGTCCAGCCAGGGGCTCACCCTCATAGCCCAGCTGGAGGTACAGCAGGGCGTGGACGCAGCTCACAGCCTCCTGGCGGGTGGCAGGCCACAAGTCCGCGCACCGTGGGGAGAAGAGGCCAATGAGGAGGCCCAGGTTGTGGAAGGGCACCAGGGCCTGGAGAGGCAGAAGGACGGGGCCCTCGTGCAACACTGGGGGGGACAGAGAGGAGGGCCAGGCCCCCCAAGATGCCAGGAGTGGGCAGGTGTCCCTGCACCAGCTGGACCCAGACACAGGCAGGGGTGTGACCAGTACAGCTCCTCGGTGAGCTGCTGCCCTGCCAGGACCCCTAAGAGGAGGAGGGTCCGGTAGCAGGTGTGTGCAGGCAGAGGGGCGATCAGGAGATAAAGAGGGAGTCCCCACGGGCAGCAGAGGGGGGCAGGGCTCTGCTGATCCTGGCCAGGAGGTGTGGGACGTTCCCTCCCCTAGAACACAGGTCCCGTCAGGTGAAGGGCTGCGTGAGATCGCCTTTCGCCCTAGCGGGGTCCCGGGCCCGTCTTCCGGGGCCTAGTCTTCCTGGCCAGATACAGAGCCCTGCCTGCCCCACACTGAACAAACGGCCTCGCGACATCAGTTGCACACCCCTCGGTCTCCTGCCTCCACCTGCCCCCATCGGCCCGCCACGCATGAGGCCTCCTGGGGAAGCGCCCGCACCCTGTCCGTGCACAGGCGCCTTTAAGGGAGAGTCAGGCTCCGCTGTTCTGAGGGCCCGGCTGAAGGCCCTCACCCCAGCCGTAGGCTGCAGGGAGGACCTTGGGGGCCAGCCACCGTTCCTCCCAGCGAGGCCAGACATCTGTCACCTCACACACAAAGGTGAACTCTACTTAGACTGGGCTTATGTGAAAAGCAGGCCAGGAAAGAATTTGTGGGAAAAGGCCGCCTAAGCTCGCTCAGAAGCGAAAACCATCCAGACACATGCAGCAGGTCCAGCGAGACAAACAATCAGGCTCTGGGTAGGTAAAAAAAAAACAAAGCAAAAGAAACAAAAAACAAACAAACAAAAAACCAAGAGAAAAGACCACAAGCATCTACTCCTGATAAACATCCTCATTAAGACAGACCAGGGGTGCCCAGGTCGCTCCGTCGGTTAGGCCAACTTTGGCTCAGGTCATGATCTCACTGTCCGTGAGCTTGAGCCCCACGATGGGCTTCGTGCGGATGGTTGCATACCCTGCTTGGGATTCTCTCTCCGCGCCCCTCCTCTCCTCTCCCACCCGCGTGCGTTCTCTCTCTCACAAAGTAACAGATAAGCTTAAAAAAAGAAAGACGCAGCTGGAACAGGATAGAGAATGCCTAGCAGTGCAACTATCTAGAGGCCGGGGGCTGCTGTCAGTCCCCACTTTGTTCTGGAAACACCAGGCAACACGAGAGGCCGAGAGGCACAGGGGTTGGGGGGAAAGGCCAAATTATCAGCGTCTGTAAGCAACACGACTGTGCTTCTGGAAGCACAAGAGAACGAACCAACGCTCATTAGAAACGACGACGGGGGGGCGCCTGGGTGGCGCAGTCGGTTAGGCGTCCGACTTCAGCCAGGTCACGATCTCGCGGTCCGTGAGTTCGAGCCCCGCGTCGGGCTCTGGGCTGATGGCTCAGAGCCTGGAGCCTGTTTCCGATTCTGTGTCTCCCTCTCTCTCTGCCCCTCCCCTGTTCATGCTCTGTCTCTCTCTGTCCCAAAAATAAATAAATGTTGAAAAAAAAAAAAAATTTAAAAAAAAAAAAAAAAAAAAAAAAAAAAAAAAAAAAAAAAGAAACGACGACGGGGTCTTACGAACCGCCTCGCGTCTCAGGGTCCACAAATCCACGCTTTCCGTGGGCACTAACTACAGTCAGACAGTTACTGACAGCGCTTGCAGAAAGCGCTTCACTGGCAAAGGCACCAAAATCTCTCACAGCAGAGCCGCGTGAAGATGCCGTCCTGCGTTTCCGAGCGGCCTGGGTGGAAAGACCCATTACTGATGGATGCTCAACAAGTTAATCCATCAGTCCCACGCAATCCCTACCAAAATCACAACAGGGATGTTTCAGGACGACGCGAAATTTATCCGAGGATCACCTAGACCAACGGCCTTGTGCGCACAGCCGCGAAGCCCCGACAGCGTGCCCCCCCCCCCCCCCCCCCCCCCCCCCCCCCCGCAGACGCCAAAGTGCCAGACAACCACGCGCTTCCCGGACTGAGCCCCTTCGCAGCCCACCCCTACCGCTCCAGACCCCCTGCCTCTGCCCAAACGTCCTCGCTTTCTTTTACCCCGCCCCCACCTCCCCTTCCCCGCAGCTGACGCGGGGGCTCCCGAGGAGAGGGGTGCCCGTCAGGTTTTACTCTGAGTGGCCAGCCCTGAGGACGACTCCTGGTCCTGACCGGCCCTCTGTGCACGTCTCCGGAAAGAGGATGGTGGGGCCCCCAGAATGTGGAACTGCCAGAGGAGCACCAGGGAGGAGCACCAGGGAGCTGGGAGGGTGCTGTGGGACGTGGGGGCCACACACAGCAGCCCCCAGGCCAGGGGACCCAGGACCGAGGCCGGGGCAGGGGAGTCGCCTGGTACTCACGCTGACGTGCAGGTGCTCCAGGAAGTGCTGCAGCAGGCAGGCGCTCAGGCCCAGCGCCCGCACCCTCTCGTGGCCCCGTGGGGACCTGATCCACGGGCTCAGGTGCTGGGGGAGAGGGGGCTTCGCATGGGTGCCGGGGCAGGGGTGAGCCCGGGAAGCAGCAGCCTGCGCGCTGCGGGCGGCTCAGCATCCCTGCCGGGCCGCCCGTCCCCGGCCGGCGGGCCAGGTCACGGCAGGTCGCCTCCGACAGCTGGGGCCCTGTCCCCGTCCTGTTGGCCCGGCCCACAGACGTGGCCGCCCCAGGCGGACCGAGAGCGAACCAGGCCTACCAGGGGACGGGCCGCTTTTGCAAGCAGGTCAGTCTCGCCCCTGCAACTGCAGCGCCGGAAACGGCAGGGAGGGGTGCGGCTTGGCTGCCACGTGCCCGCTCCGCCAGGAGCCCTAGACGGCCAGGAGCTCACATCCGGTGCCTGAGTGGTGTCTCCACCCCCGTGCCACGCAGTGGAGGGGAGGCGACGATAGGCTCCTGTGTGGGCCCACCCCCATCCGCCCACCCGTCCAGGCAAGGCAGCCCTCCTGTTCACAGACGCCCCTCCCATACACTGCCAGAGAGCACCAAACTCCCCAGTGCCCCCGGAGCAGGCTGCGCCAGGAAAACCAGGCATGGGGCTGGCTGCCGGGGTCGGGGGGGCACCCCCGGGGCAGGGCACACCCACCGCACACCTCCACCATGATCTGCAGGCCCTGCGGGGTCATGTTCCGCCGAAGGAGGCTTGTCAGCAAATCCTCAAGGGCGTGCATGGTGTCCAGGTACAGGGACTTAGAAAGAGATGAGGCCACCAGTGACCCCGGTGCCTGCAGCGGCCTGCCCGCTGCCCGCCGTGGATGCAGGGTGATACCTCCTGGCGGTCCTCCTCCCCCTCGGGCTCAGGCAGCACAGCCATGACGCTGTGTAGACAGCCGCGGATCAAGTCCGCCTGCACTCGCTCTTCCAGCGCTGGCTCCAGGGAGCTGAACCGCAGTCAAGGCCCCGTGCCACACCCCTTGCCCAGAGGGCACGTGCACAGAGGGCCCCCCCACAGCCCCCCTCACACCCAGAGGAAAGGATACACCAGGTAAGTGCAGGCAAGCATGGCCTTCTTCCGAATGGGCGTTCTCAGGGAGTCTGGGGGCTCTGCCTTGATGAACTCCTAGGGGAGCCAGCCCCGTGACTCAGCCCTTGGCCCAAGCACCAGCCTTCCTCCTGGTCAGCCATCTGCCCGGCGCTGGCTTCTGGCCAACTCTGTCCCCCAACCCAGGTGGGTGCCGGGCCCCTCGTTGCATGCCCCCCCCCCCCCCCCCCCCCCCCGGCGTCTCCAGGCCCAACTCCCCTGTCTAGGGCCGCGCCCTGGGAGCCACCCTGGCACCGGCCGGGCCCCGCCCAGAGCTCACCATCATCTGTGCCACCAGCTCGGCTTTCCTCGAGAAGTGGAAAGAGCCAGCTTGGGCACTGCTGCAGATGGCCTGGCTGGCCATGCACACACTCTGGATGAGACACAGCTTCAGAGCCGGGTCCTGGAAGGACACAGGACTGCAGGGGGGCCACCAACGCCCGCCCCCACAGCACAGCTCTGCCCCGAGGTGGGCAGCCGCTGCCTCTCGGCCCTCGGGGTGGAATCCAGAACAGGAGGCCACCCAGAGTGACAGCCCTCAGGCCCCGCAGCCACACACGTTCCTCCCTGAGGGGCTCTCAGCCTGTCCCCCTCCAGCTCTTGCCACGCAGACCAGGGGGCCTGGAGCCCCTGCGGCACTCAGCTCTCCGCCTGTCTCAGGCAGACAGCACGCTGTGTCCCCTGCACCCTGGGGTGTGGCTGGAAGGGCATCTCAAGGTGGGAGAAGGGAACACGCCCAAGAAGAGCCCCGGCAGAGAGGGACTGTCCCCTGCCTGTCCCACCGACTCGGCCTCTGGGGAGTCAGGAAAGGGGGTGTGGGGAGCTGTCCTGGGGACACGAAGTCCAGGAAGAGACAAGTCTCAGAATACCCTCCCCTCCAGCCAACCCCAGGAGACCCCAGAGGGTCTGCTCTTCAAGGGGAAGGCCCAGCCACTCCTAGAGAGGTGTTAGTGCCCAGTTAGTGCCAGAGATCCCAGAGAGGAAACACGTTAGTGAGGCTCGGCAGGAGGTGGGCGTCGTGAGCATCGGGGAGCAGAGCCCCAGCCTGTGGGCCTGCCAGCCAGCCGCTCAGAAGCCCTCCGGCCATCTTCTGTCCACCCACCACCCAGCATCCAGGCCGGGACACTAGCTCCTGGGCCCCTACTGTGGCTGTAAGAGGAGAAGCTGCTCCAAGGTGAGTGGGGACCCGTCCTGGCGCGATGCTCCCAGATGCTATCCCTGGGGACTGGGACCGGGGAGCCCCAGGGGGCGTCCCCCTGGCTTCTGCCCCTGAAGCTCACAACCAGGCCAGCCCAGAGACAAGAGAAAAGGCATAGTTCACACTTAACTCCTACACACTGTACCTTGGTCTCTACCTTTATTCCCAGAACCTGAACAACAAAATTGAAGGGAGTTAAAACGCGAAGCTCTGGCGGTGATGTCCCTGCCCCGCCTGCATGGCGCCCCCCACGCAAGCAGTCTGCCGAGGCCCCCACCTTGGTGCTGAAGTACTGGACTATGTTCCGGAGGATGTCCGACTCGACCTTGGCCAGCACCAGCTCGCGGGGGGCCCGTGCTGCCACGTGGCCGTAACACAGGATCAGAGTTGACTTCACCTTTTCCACATCATTCTCACTTCGGTCCTGAGAGGCCAGAGGGGTCGGCAGGGCCTCAGTTACAGGCCATTACCTGCCCCCAATAGGAAGCCTTGCGCTCAGAACCCCCAGGTCCCTCTGGAAGAAGGGCTGAGCTGGCCAGCAATGTCAGAGGCATAACCGAAGGAGCGGAGGGCGCCATCGGAGAGTCCCTCCGCCGGGGACAGAACGGGACAGGCAGGCCAGCCACGGGCCCGCTGGGGACAAAGCAGCAGAAGGGAAAGCACTGAGCAGTGGACCA